TTTTGATATCAAAGATGGTTGGATCCGCTGGAGCAATGGCTTTTCCCAAAGTCCCTGAGCACGCAGTGATCTCAATATGCTAAAATACATTTTTTTACAGAAGAGTGATTCTTTTGGGTACCCTTGTCCCTACTATGGTCGCCCTTTGACCGCATTTGTCTTGGGTGTTGCTCTTCCAACCGAAAGAGAAGACATACACAATTCGAATCTTAAGCTATGACCCGCTGATTATATATGTTGTTGGGTTTCTGTCATGGGTGGAAAGAGCCTATTTACTACGTCTTGGGCAAGTTCATCTCACCGTCAAGTCTCTCTGGCTGACAAGCTCCTTACAGGAAGCCGTTATTTGAGAGATCGACAGTGTACAACGATGGCGTACAGGAGATAGACATGGAGCGAACAAGCAGCACCGCATATCTTCCTGACAAAGACTGGCTTGTCCAGCGAATCATTAGACGAGCCTCCGAGATTCAGGGCTACACAAACGAGAACCTTCATGAATCGCTACAACTCACGCAATATGGCCCCGACCAGCTCTTCCGTCCCCACGTAGACACTCTCGAGGACAGTGCCAATGAGGCCTTAACACACCAGCTGACAACGATTTTCGCAATCGTTGAAGCCACATGCGATAGATGCGGGACTCAGTTTCCAAATTCTCGCATCAAATGGCCATTGGAAGATCCAAGCTGGTGCAAATATGTAGAATGTGGCGACGTCGAGGCCCTCACATTCAAGGCCGTACCCGGTAACGCATTGTTTTGGAAGAGCTGGACAAACGCTAGGAGCCTTGATCCAAGGACATTACATACTGGTTTACCTCCTGAAAGCGGGGTGAAGACTGGTCTCAACATTTGGACCCACGACTAAATAGGTTGGGTTGTGTGTTACGTGGCTTTCGTCATTAGTTTATCAACGAGGTGTTCAGAAATACTTTCATGAGTATGATACCCATCAAGTACAATCCAACATGTTTGCAACAGTGCTTGTATGTACAATACTACATAAGGTAATTACAAAGCACTTCATATCCAACAGCCCTGTGTTATCTTGAGTTACAACACGATTAAGTGCATTGCGAGTAGTACTGGTTCAAGACTGTGCAGGTCGAGCCAGAAGCACAAACAGTCCCACCAGTCCATCCTTGTCCACCACACTGGCCGTACTTGGGAACGGTCCCAGTACCACCACTCGCAGCCGTGGTCGTGGTCGTTCCAGCTCTGGTGGTTGTCACACCTGCGGCAGTAGTAGTCGTCCTCAATGTAGTCGGGCTGCTGCCACCACTTCCTCCGGCCGGGGTGGCGCTCGACGTCGCGGTGATGCGGGCAGTGCTCTGAGCAACGGTCGAGGCAAGTCCCGAGACCAGGGTAGGACCGGGAACGGGGTAGACGAGAGGGCTCGTGTAGAGGTTGAAAAGAATGCCCGGGTCGTCAGACTTGTACAACGCCGTGCCCTTAACGCCGGCCGGGGCAAGGGAACCTCCTCCAGTGACCTGGAGGTTGAAGCACTGCGGGTACGCCTGCGCGCCATTGACATTGCCGCCAGAGTGGAGAGCAATGATCTCGTGACGGAGCACGTAGTTGCCTGGGGCCAGAGTCGAGGGGATCTGGACGGTCCATGTGAAGTTGTTGGCCATGAGGACATCGTCGGCCCACTTGCCGTTGGTGAGGGACATGTCAATCAAACCACCAGTATCGATCTTGAAGAAATTGAGGGTGGTCTTGTCGACAGACTCACAGTCGCCGGTACATTTGGCAAGATAGTCAATCACCGGGCCCTTGTGTGACTCTGGCCATGTGTTCCAGATGAGCTGGATGTTGGTACCCGCAGCGACAGTGGCGTGTCCGCCGGCCGGGCTTCCGTTCTTGTGGCAGATGATGTCGCCAGTGCCGAAGTTGACTGGTTCAACAAAGCCGTTATCAGGGGCATCGATCTTCCAGCCAACGACAGGACTTGTTGGGGGCGAGTAGGTGAACGCAGGAGAGTCCCAGCCGCGGTAAGCGACGCCATTGGCAACAAGCCAGTCAACGTGGCCGTGGGCCGCGACGGTGGCCGCCAAGGCGAGTAGAATGGAAGAAGGGAGAAAGCTGCCCATGGTTTCGACGGCTCTTCAATTTGCCTGCGTTTCCGAGAATCTGGGTGATGAGCGCTGCCTTGTTCAGGCAGAATGCATTCTAGACAGACGAGGAGCGTGGCATATATAGTGCTGCATTGGTAGTACCAGACGGCGCGTCGACAGCGTCGGAGTCACGGCAATCGATATTAATTAATTGGCACGCGAGCCAAGGTCTTTAGTTCATGGTGAGGCCCAGAACCAAACATCGTACCATCGCGAAGTAGTCACACTGACACGCTGGCGTAGCATGCTAGGCACAACTCCCGAGTCAAGAATAAGACAAGAACCCCCAAGAGAAGTTGTTTCTTCTCAATGTCTCGTTGGTCTCCTGCATTACTCCTTACTTGACAACGCGGCAGACACCTGTCACGAGCACATTCAGACGGGGCGCCATGGTGGAGTGCATTCATCCGTAATGCCTGAATTGGACGTCTGGTATAGTGCTACCCATCACAGTAAGACTTGATTGGGAGGTTCTAGAATAGTTGGGTGGACATTTCGGAGGGAGGTTAGGTGTGGACCTGAAACGTCGGTAGCGAAGAGGCGCCATCGGAAAAGAAAACTGCAGAATTAGGAAATCTCGGTCGACTGCCACCGAGAAAATGTGACGGCACGCAGAAGACCGGGGTTGCATCGGAGCACCGGAGTTGGTGCAATATGATGATTGGTGGTCAAGGGAGAGAGAACCAGCTTCATTCGGAGAACATCTGGTCGGGATGCCAATCCTGCATTCCCTCCGTAAGATTTATCTTCCTTATCGTAATGGGATCTGGAGGAAGAATACCGGCGGCGGCCTGCATGCTTGTGGACATTTGAGATATAAGCAACGAAGTCCATCCGCCAATGCTCCAAACTGGTTCAGAATGCGACGAGAACCTGGATGCTCGTTCCAAATCGTGCCTTCACAGATTAGTGAGGCACAATTGATACTACGAGGCCGCCACCACGCCTTTAGAAGTTTCGTTGCGTTTCTTGTTTTACTTCGGCATCCTTATTTCCATCGAACAGAAACTTAGGTATTTAGATTTGCCAACGATTCCAGGTCATCTTATTTCTAATGAGCCTACGAAGTCTAAATTTCAGGTATAGATACTAGCATGAAAGACCAATCAGTTCTCTCCATGGCACACTCGCCGGGTGAGGTGGAATGGAAGCCAGCAATGCTAACGGTGAGAGTTAGGACCTTCCTTAGAAAGACTGAGTAAAGGCAACCACCATGGTTGGTTTGAGTGGTAGCAATTCTAGAGGTCGGAAACGCCAAATGATCTTAAATGCACATGACATGAACATTCACTTAAAAACTCAGATATATTGTGTGCTCGGAATCGAGGCTCCCAAAGGCTACCCAGGCTGCTAGATATGGTTATCATTTTAAAGCGCGTTTGAGCTCCCTCTCAGACTACTTAGCCTTTGCCTCATGGCCAAACTATAGCCAACTTGGCCTCTCAGGTCCTTTGTCTAAGGTTACTACATCTATGAAGTATCAAAAACGAACCATGTTCCGTGCAAAGCCTCGAAGCTTGGATGTGTCGCCTACTCAAATACTTTGGCATGAGAATCGCCTCCCTGATCCAGCATATCTACGTTTCTTGGCAAGTACTCATCTTCTGAATGAGAAGCCAATTTCAAGTTTTCAGCAGTCGTAGTGGGTATAACTGCACCATTCTCACAAACACCTCCCGACGTCGCTAGTTAACTCTCCTGGGCCTAGGATTTCGAGGCGGCTCGTTCAGTTGGTCTGTCGGATCTGATATTGGGAATGCTAGATGAGTTTTCTTGCCGGCGACTTGACGACCCCGCAGTGTAGAAATTTCATGGAATGACTTGGAGGTATGGCACTTGTAGGTATGGCACTTGGAGTTTCGTGTTAGCTTGATCTCAATGATTAATTCCCTCTATCAACAAGGTCGTCGATACGATTTTCATGGCACATGTGGAATTTATCACTTCGTGATCCAAGCTCCATTTGACACCAACTGTTCATGCACATTTAAATTGACGAGTAAAAGGAAAGGAAAAAAAAACACCTCCAGAAGCGCTTTCGTGTGAAGTACGTAAGGGTACATAGGGACAAAAGTCTCTAGGCGTAGAACTGACTTTTTGGGACTGAGAATGCACTCATGACTAATTGACTCTAGTCGGGAATGACCGTGGGCCAATTGAAGCACCGAGTTCAATCAATGCACGGGCCGTATTTACACATCTTTCGAAGTCGATCACATTAACTTGGGGAAAGAAGGTGTGAGAAGTAAGCTGAATGACCTCCAAGCCATCAAGATATCTCATGTTTGCACGGTGATTTAAAGTTCGCCTTGTCTTTTCGAGGGTTCAATGAAGCTTAATCAAAGTATGTCGACCTCATCGCGCCTACCGTCGTTTTTCCTGTTCTCCACTTGTTGAGGATCAAGAGTTGTGCTTCCGGTCTCATACGCACTCTCAGATGAATATCGTGAGTTCAGCATGAGATTTATGAATGAGTGAGGCGGTCACAAAACACCGCACATTTCCCTCCTGAAGCGCCCCTCAACGACGATCGGGATGACTCATGACGTACACTAAAATACGGAGGACGGACAGAGACAGAAAAGTCTCCATTATACTCATTTCTAGATCATTTCTAGAAGCATCGTGACTAATTATCAAATCCCATTGTGATTGAAGATCCGGGAGAGTGCACCGAAATAGGCCTTGAAACTAACAACGTGTCTTCAGGTTGCAGTGCTAGACCCCTGTCAGGGGGCGGTTTGTCACCGTGAGACAAATTAGGGTGGCATGAGCGGCCCCTGCATCAATGCGATCTCCGGGCCAATTTTGTTTACTTCACGTGATCTCCAGTGGGGGAATTTCCTCCCCCCTTTGGCCTTGGGAACTTCGTCGATTCCGAAAGAATTGAACACGATCACCTTGACTTTAACCTCCCAAAAGGAAGGGGTCAAGCAGTGCGGAAACACACCATGTCGACGACCAAACATGAACGGAACAACGAGGAGTGGAAGGGCCCGCGACGGCTTCCCTCCGTCAAGGAGAAGCTGTCAAGCTTCGTGCGGCGCGGCCGGGAAAAAGCAAAGAAGACAACATTGTCTGTCTTGGGCGAGTCACGACAGGAGCGACCATCCCTGGACGAGAGCATGAAGGCCCTCCCGAGGGTTCAGGTGTCAGATTTCGGGACCTCGAGTCTCGAGATTGACCTGCAGTCCCTCGAGGCTTTCCGTATTGCGCCGTCGCAGCCCGCGAGGAGCACAGAGCAGGCGAAGCAGGTCAAGAAGACTTCTTCGCGAACTTCGACAATGACCCCCATCGCCGACATGTTTGCCAGGAGGGCGACGACGGCTGCATTATCCACGGTCGACATGAGGACGCTGAACAAATCCTCGCCATCACTACTCACCTCTGTCGCCAGCAGCAAGCCCGCCGAAGCACGTCGCCCTGGTCAAGCTCCCTCCATGTCTTCGAGATCTACTGTTGTTGCTACTGCTGCTGCACCGAGCACTGCATCGAGCGTGATCATCATCAACAACAGCTCGACCGGCCAGCCCCAATCACACACCTCAAAACCATGGCCACCACCAGAGACTCCCCGCACAGCTGCAGCACCCATCCGCACTCAATCTTCCACGGCATCGACCTCGACATCGAACCAGCCAAACAAACTGCCGCTTCGCGAACCGCCACGACGCGCCGCTTTCGTGCCGGCCTACGTCCCGTCACGGGCCGCCCCAATCGTCACGCCAGTTGAGCCTGTCATTAGGCCCCACCACCAAAATTCCGACACCGTTGCCAGACAGCAACGGCTGCAGCATAACACGGAAAAGCGCCACTCGAATCCCTCAGGAATGCCCTCGTCGTCAACAACAACCACGACCGCCCCGGCTCCGAATAAGCTCCTCCTCGCAGAAATCGTCAATACAGACCGCAGACGGTCTTGGCAACCGGCGCCGACATCGGTCCCATCAGCTGCGGGAACGCCCACATCGTCCGGCCCGCCATCCGCATCCGCCCCGTGGCGTGGTCGCGACCTTGATGGCAGCAGCAGCAAGAGAGCATCATCCCGCATCGCCTCGGACCGCCTCGCCTGGATCCGGGAGCTCGAGGAGGGCAAGAAGAAGAAGTCGACGATCAATGGCGATCTCCCCGTTCTCAGGAACATGCAGGGCAGCGTGGCAGATAAACTGGCCAAGTTTGAGCAGCAGAAGCAGCAGCAACAAATCCAGCAGATTCCGCTCACGCGGTCCAACTCAACCAGGAGCCGCATCTCGTCCGTCGCCGACACCACCTTCTCTTCGTACAACGGCCCTGCCACCGCCCGATCGTCTCTCGATACCTGTCGCACCTCCTCCGTTTTCTCGCACTATGACGACTCGTTCCGCGAGAAGATGGAGATCATCACGGGAGCTGCCAACAAGACGGCCGACGAGGAGAATGAGGAGAAGCCTGCCCTGAACAAGGTCACGGCCACTTTTGTGCCGATCGAAAAGAAGGAGCCCATTGTGGCACCTGCCACCCAGGCCGCGGAAGACGAAAGCGCCGCAAAGACCGCCCCCGAGGATGTCGCGCCTGTCTCACCAGTAGTGGAGAAGATTGAGTCCCCCACGACCGATGCACCCATCCCGGCAGATGTTCCTTTTCCGGAAGATGTTGAAGAGAAGGTCGCCCCAGTCGAGGTCCCGACCATCTCTGTGTCATCAGAGACCGAGAAGATGGAGTCCACCACAAGCGAGGCTCCTCTTGCCGCGGATGTTCCTCTTCCAGAGGATGTTGAGGTCGAGGAGAAGCCCGCCTCCGAGGAAGTCTCGTCTGTCTCTGTGTCAGTGGAGAAGGCGGAGCCCATCGCGATCGATGCCGAACGTGCGGCGGATGAAGCAGCCAAGGAGAAGCCCGCTGTGGCCGACGTCTCCACTGCCGTCGTGGTAGCCGACGAGATGACTAAGCCTACCTGCGCCGATGAGCCTCAAACCATTTGATTTTGGTCGATTATTTTATTTGGACGACAGAGTGTGTCCGCATTTTTGTTTTGTTTTATTTTACATCCGAAGAGATGTAGGCGCGCAGCGCACAGTTTGATACCAGTAGAGTTTTCTCTACTCTTTTGCATGATATTCCCCCCGATCCCCAAAGACAATCCGCTGAGACTAGATTCTCCAGCGCTGGGTTTTGTTAGTAGCGTTTTTATTCACCAGGCTTGGGAGTTTGCATCGTTTCTTGTGTACTAGTTGTAAGATGATAATGATAAGATGTCTATAACGATGGAAATTCAAATTGCTTTGAGCTCCGGCGATATTGCCGAAAGAAGTTACTTGAAGTCACGATGTGAGCTGAAGTGAGGGAACAGCACTGATGTTATGCGCAGATAGTCAGAATTTGGTATACTTGTGCACTGATCATGTACTCGTCAAGCTATCGTGGGGACATGCATTCCTGCAAGCGTTAGTTGCGTCTAGCCGATGTCAATGACGTTTTACCCACTTCTGTCTAAATCCGGTCGCGAACATTCTTTGATATTACGATTGGCATTAATGATATGTTTTCACTTGCTGACTCGAGGTTTCTGATAGATGAAGACAACTGCGGGATCAACCGGTCAATCAACTTACATACTGGCGCATTCACCGTCCCTTCGATGATGCAACATGAGCTCATAGAATGCGATTCTCCCATCGCAGCATGAGAAAACATCTAGATAATCCCCTTGAGAAGAGTATATTAAACCGTTGGCCTATCACCTGCAACCTTGACATATTGTTCAGCTGCCCTTCTACTGTCAAGATGGAGGCTGGCTTATCAGCAAGCTCCGGTGACATTTCGCGACTAATTCCCTTAAGTGCCCAGATAAGAAGGTGGGGACGTTCCCGCGCTGATCGCAGTCGGTGCGTTCCGGTTTTGCTTCCCCTCAACAACTCGGACCGGTCCGGCGGTCTCCATTTCCACCGATGACCGGCCATTGCCCGCTCCACGCACCAGAGGTCAAACGGCAGTGGTCCCTTCGTCCGCATGTTCATGTTTGAGTTGTCTCTTGCCTTGCGCTCTTGTTGTTAGGATTCTTGGCCGTTAGAGTTGCCTTGTGCAAGTAAGACTCTGAGACAAGTTTTCCACTCTTGAACGAGGGCGTACGAACGTTAAGTTCAGGACCATGCAGCAAATTCGCAACGACAACCAGGAAAAGGGCGCGGAGAAACAAGCCGAATCTAGTCCCGCGATGCCGCGCCGGTTCTCGAACGATCACGCAAGCATCGAAGCTTTTCCCGGTGCCCCTCAACCCACACTTCACACTCCAAAGACCGCATTGGTCACAAGTGAGTTCGAGCCAACTCATGCTCTTCGGTCTCGAAAGCCCTTCGAACGAGCTCTAATGAGATATTGTAGACAATGAGCTCCACGACGATGATATCGGGTACCCCGAAGGCGGGTACCAGGCTTGGATGGTGGTAATCGGCGCGTGGTGCGCCATGATCCCGCCGATGGGCATCCTCAACACCATTTCCGTGCTACAAGGCTGGCTGCTGCAAAATGAGCTCAAAGGAGTACCTGAAAGCAAAGCGGGATGGATCTTTTCTTGTTACGCGTTTTTCATCACGGCTTGCGGGGCACAAGTTGGTCGGTATTCCCCGGTGTGCCTACAGCCCAATCAAGACTGATGATGGAGTCATCTACAGGACCGGTATTCGACGCATTTGATATCAGAGTGCTCCTCATCCCAGGCTCCATCGGCATGATTGCATCGATGATCTTCCTCAGCTTGTCGACAGGTAAACACCCAACATCAACCTCCTACCAACAACACCATGGTCCGTATCAGAACTAACCTGACGCCTACGTACCCAGAATTCTACCAAATGCTCCTATCCTTCGGCGTCTGCGGCGGCATCAGCGCCGCATTCCTCTTCAACCCAGCCCTCTCCGCTATAGGCCACTGGTTCTGCGAGCGCCGCGCCTTCGCGACTGGCGTAGCCTGCACGGCCGGCGGCCTCGGCGGCATCGGCTTCTCCCTCATCATCCAGTACCTCGCGCCCCGCATCGGCTTCCCCTGGGCCATACGCATCATCGCCTTCATCTCGACGGGCAGCCTGATCGTCACCAACATTTTCCTCCGGAAACGCCTGCCGCCCAAACGGAAAGCCAAGGCCCTGATCGACTTCCGCCTCCTGCGCGACCTCAAGTTCGGCGTTACCGTGGTGGCCGTCTTCTTCGTCGAGTTCACCGTCTTCATCCCGTACTCGTACATATCATCCTACGCTATCGAAAAGGGGCTGGGCCTGCAGAAATCCTTCCTCCTCAACGTTCTGCTCAACGCCGGCGCGATACCGGGCCGGATGTTGCCGGGTTACATTGCTGACCGCGTCGGCGCCTTCAACACAATGTGCGTCACGTCCCTGTGCTGCGGCGTCTTGATTCTGGGACTGTGGCTGGCCGCCGGCGACGTGGACGCCAAGATCATGTCTTTCACCACGCTGTTTGGCTTCTGGTCCGGGGCCGCCATCAGCTTGTCGCCGGTGTGCATCTCCCGCGTCTGCAAAATTGAGGACTACGGCAAATCGACGGGTATGGCGTACTTTATTGCGAGCTTTGGTGCGCTAGTGGGCATTCCCTTGGCAGGGTTCCTGTTGGAGACGGGGACCGAGCCGTATAGGAACTTGATCATCTTCGCGGGGGCGGCGTATATGGTTGCATTTGTTGCATTCTGTGGTGCTAGGGGCATCGCGGGCGGGTGGAAACCAGCATTATTCTAGAGAAGGAACCGCCATCTGTGGGTGAACCCTATGAACTGGAAAGCCAGGCGGCGAGAAGACGCATTGAAGCAACTGAGTGACAGGAAAGGATGCCGAGTAAAGGATTTAGCAGCATTGATCCTGGCATTGATGATAGCATTGATAATTGCGAGAATAGTAGCAGTGGCAGCAGCGTTGTTCGTCGTATTGAGAACATAAGGTAGCTAGCTCAGTTACTTGACCCATTTGCCAGGGTACCGCAACGAAGTGGTGTCAACTGTCAAGCAAGAATTGATGTATATGTTTCTCGCAACCTATCGTTGCACAAAATATTCATCATAATGATTGTGCCTACATGGTCAAGCTGTCAAATCATTTCGGCTGCGATATGAACCACAGCTCGTTATTCACAATTTTTCGTCGATCGAAGTGCGGGAATGCCGGACTCCACCAGCCGGAGATGAGATTCCTTTCCGCCACATCGCGCACCAAGCCTGCAATCTTGCAAGTGGGCTTGAACATGATTGAGATGATGGTATCCAAGACCGATTACAGCTTTCTGCTTAGACAAAAAGTCATTTCACTAGATAGCTCAATTCACTTTGACAACTTCTCTACCTGAACGAGCGGACAAGAAGGAGTGTTGGTGGAGGGGCTTTAGTCAGACTGTGCCTGTCGACCAATGCGGTACTTTGCTCCCTCCATTTCCACAGAACTGCTTACCCGCATTTTAACTCATTGGAACGTATTAATCGCCGTTTGAATTCCTGCTTAGCCAGAAATGGCAATCATTGTCCGGTCGCTTTGAAATATTGTAGCGGGAATAAACCCAACAAACCCGAGACAGGCTTGAGATGACATGCGTATAAGAGGCGTATGCATTAAACGGGCTCATGCTGTGTACTCCAAACTTTCACCACCACTAACACCCATTCATGATCACTCAGCTAGCGCTAAGCCATACCTCACACACTAGCACGGCTTATCAAAAGTTGGAAGAGGAGGTGATGGCTGCCTAATCATGATTGAAAAGTCCCAATGTCCAATCAAAAATTGCGTAGCCAATATCACTGATCTTCAACAACACGATGACCCTTCATCGCGATTTCATTAAAGAGGGTCCCGTCTGATAGATCGAGTTCACATTGGATAACTTGCCCATTGGTCTCTATTGGTCAACCTGAAGAACTCCTCACCCTCCAAGAACGGATTTCAGTTTCTCGAATCTTGTATTACGCCATGGCAGACAGCGCGCCCAGAGAGGCCGAGCCGGAGCGACGCGAGGCTCTCGACATCCTCGACGCCAAAGCCTCACAGTTGGTAGAGCTCATCAAGAAAAGCAAGCACTTCATTGCCTTCACCGGCGCAGGAATCTCCACCTCTGCAGGTAAGTTAAACATCCCTAAGCCGAAAGAAGTGACCCAGCTATACCACACCTCGAGTTTCCGTAAGATTCAGAGCTGAATAATTATGACTCAGGAATCCCCGACTTCCGCGGACCAGAAGGTGCCTGGACACTTAGAGCTCAGGGAAGGCAGAGAACGGGCAAGACGACGAGCACGCTCCAGGCCATCCCAACCAAGACGCACATGGCGCTCGTCGAGCTGCAGGACCGCGGCATCTTGAAATATCTCGTCAATCAAAACTGCGACGGCTTGCACCGGAAGAGTGGGATTCTTCCAGTGAGTCCTAGGTTTATCAATGCTGGGGATCTGGAGAGCTTGATCCGACAATGGCTTACGCTCGTCTCTTCAGGAGAAGATTTCCGAGCTTCATGGGAACAGTAACCGCGAATATTGCAAAGACTGCGGTAAAGAATTCCTCCGAGGTATTGTCTCTCCTTTTCTTTACCGTATTCTCTTTCGCCATTCCTGTTGCGGTTTATGGCTCCTCAACTCGCCCCGACTTCAACCTCACATCACGACAGACATTGACGAAAACAAACCAGACTTCCGCGCCGTAGCAACCTACGAAAAATCGATCCGCGACCACCGTACAGGCCGCAAATGCCCCCTCTGTAACGGCACCCTCCTCGACACAATCATAAACTTTGGCGAATACCTCCCCGCCGAACCCCTCGCCCTCGCCCGCTCCAACGCAAGAAAAGCAGACCTCTGTCTCGCTCTCGGCTCCTCTCTAACCGTGCCCCCCGCCTGCACGATCCCCGAGACCGTCGGGAAGAAAAAGCGCACAAAGACGTACCCGAACGGCGGGACGCTCGTGATTTGTAACTTGCAGAGTACGCCCCTGGATCACCTGAGCGAGGCGCTGCGCGTGTGGGCGACGACGGATGATTTGATGGTCCGGGTTATGGAGAAACTGGAGATCCCGATCCCGCGCTTCGTGCTGAGGCGGAGGCTGGTGGTGGAGATGATGATGACGGGAGAGGAGAGGTATCAGCTTACGGCGAGGGGGGTTGACGTCGACGGCACGCCCGCGAGCTTTTTGCAGTCTGTGAAGATGCAAGGGAACAGGCGCGTTGGGCGGACCGAGCCGTTTACCATTTCGTTCCGGGGGGAGGCGGTTGCTGAGGCCGAGATCAAGGTAGAGCTGGAGTTTATGGGACACTATGGTGAGCCTGTCTTGGAGATTGTGATGGAGTATAATGGAGAGGAGAAGCTGGAGAGGATGTATCTGCTGGAATATGACCCTTCGATTGGGGCTTGGAAGGTTAGTAGACAAGATGATGGGACTTTTGCTGGGCGGGGTGGCACGGCTGACACAGACGAGGACATGGAGGATTCACTGATGATTTCGGCTGAGGATGCGGGTGTGCCCAGCCATATCATCGCCTCGTCTGCGGCCAGTGAGGTCATCGACCTGACTTCACCATAAGGTAGTGTGCCTGCTTGTGGAGGACCCTCTAGTTACTGCTTCATCCAGCATGAGAAGTAGCTCTCAGTAGCCAGGACTGCGAAGGAAATTAGTCATGCCATGTCTCTCAAGATGAACCAAACCCTTGAAGATACATGTAACGAGCAATGGTCCATGGATCACAACTTTGCAAGTGGCACCCGAGAAGAACAGATATATCATCAACATGGCTGCATGAAAGCAGCATTACTCAATTTTTGTAAGGTACGACTATCGCTATGAACACGCATTACATATCCCATATCCACATTGTGTCGTGTGAACGTTAATTTTCATGAATTACACATTAAACAAAAAGCTTGCTTGAACGTCCATTAAGCATGCGCATGGTTCGTATCAGAGCAGAGCAGCAACCACGACACCAGCGGCTGCGGCCAAGATGCCGGAGCCGAGACGATCAGCAGCGTTGGTGACCTGGACCGGACCAGTGGTGGTCTTGCTGGGCGAGGCGACGGGCGTGGTGGCAGCGGGCGGAGGGGTACCGGCAGGAGGAGTACCGGCAGGAGGAGTACCGGCAGGGGGAGTCCCGGCAGGAGGGGTAGAAGGTGTGCCAGCCGGAGGGGGAACGGGAGTACCGGCGGGAGGGGTGCCAGCTGGCGGAGCAGGGTGAGTGCTAGCTGGAGGCGCGGGAGGAGTGTCAGCCGGGGGAGTACCAGCAGGAGGCGCCGGGTGGGTGCTGGCGGGAGGAGCAGGAGGGGTTCCAGCAGGTGGAGTGCCAGCGGGCGGTGGAGGAGGCGGGCTGCTGGGCGCGGGGTGCACAGTGGTGAAAGTGTGAGGCACGCTCTCGGTGACAGGGCAGATGGTGGTAGAGACGGGAATAGTCTCGGTGGTGGTGTGAGGACCCTCGGGGCAGTTGGGGGTATCGGGAGGGCATCTGGTGATGGTATGAACCCTGGTAGTGTAAACCGTGGAAGTCGTCCAGGTCGTTGGTGGAGGAACAGGGTGGGTGGGAACTGGCTTTGTAGACTCCTCGGTGACGGGGCAGATGGTCGTCGACACGGCGATGGTCTTGGTTGTGGTGACAGGAGTGTGAGGGCAATTTGTGACGCTGGGAGGGCATCTTGTCACGGTCTCAACAGTTGTAGTGTAGACGGTGGAAGTGGTCAGCTTGCTGGTGCGAGTCTTGGTGTAAGGAGGCTTCTCGGTCGTTGTGTTGGCGTAAGGGGTCGTGGTGGGAGGAGGAGGGACCCAGGTGGAAGACTTGCTGGGGTGAGGGTGGTGGCTCTTGGTCGTGCTCTCTCCCTTGGTGCTGCTGACGGCAGTCTCGGTGGTACAATCCTCAGTTGTAGTAGGAGGGGGAGGAGGGACGTGAGTCGTGGGGGGCTTGCTTGAGTGTGAGTGTTGGCTCTTGGTGCTCACAGACGTCTCGGTGGTGCAATCCTCTGTGGTAGTGGGAGGAGGAGGAGGGACGTGAGTCGTGGGGGGTTTGCTAGAGTGTGAATGATGGCTCTTGGTGCTCACGGTCGTCTCGGTGGTGCAGTCTTCAGTCGTCGTGCTGTGGACCTTAGTCGAGCTGACAACGGTGGACAAAGTGGTGCAGTCCTCCGATGAAGTGGTTGTGCTGTGGACTTTGGTGCTGCTGACGGCGGTGGAAGAGGTAGTGCAGTCTTCGGAGGAGGTGGAAGTGCTGTGCTCCTTAGTCGAGCTGACAGCTGTTGACGACGTAGTGCAGTCCTCAGAGGAGGTGGAGGTGCTGTGAACCTTGGTGCTGCTGACCCAGGTGGACGATGTGCTCGTCTCAGAAGTAACGGGAGTCGAGGATGAATGCTCCTTGGAAGACCAAGTAGTCTTGGAAGCCTCAGTGGTACTGACGGTGGTTGGGGGAGCGGGAGTGCTGGTAGTCCACGGGGCCGAGGTGCTGGTGGTGGGAGGAGCTGTTGTGCTCAAACTGTAGGTGATGCAGGAGCAGGCAGAGGAGACAGCCTTGACATCTCCAGCACAGTTGTTGAAGTCGGTTGGGATAGCAGCGGCAGCAGTGGTGGTTCCGTGGAGGAACTCAACGCAGAAACCCTTGGCCTCTTCAGCGAAGCGCTCGTCAATGAGGTTGCGGTAGCACCCATCGTGTTCCTGTAATGGATTAGTGGAGAGTTCTCATGATAGGTCTATTTCATCCTATCAACCAGTGACTGAATAAGACGAAATAGGTAATATAATATGGTTTAGTCAAAGTAGACAGGGGTATGAGTAGACGTACACAATAGGGGTATTCCCAAGCATTGACGGACGCCAGGGCAATGGCGCCCAGTCCTATGTAAAGGCCGCGCATATTGGATCTTGTTCTTTTGGAAGCGAATGACAGGGACTTTGAAAGTCTACTAGTTAATTGGAGCGAGAGGACGATTTACTCGTAGCGACCGTGGGTAAGGAGAGAAAGAGGAGACATGAACCAGACTCTCGGCGCGGCGAAGGGGACTTTATCAAAAAGTAGACGAGGGTGTGGATGGTTGGCGGTTGCTGGAGGCTACGTCGGGCCACGGCGGGGAGTGATGCATCCATCACCCATCATCCATCCATCCATCCATCCCACCAGGGCGGGCTGGCTAGCAGAATACGAGCTGGAGCCGCAGCACGGCTCGTGGTTGATCTCTTGGTTGCCTTTTACCCATGTTCCCACCCAGCCATCGCACGAGATGAGGCACCATGTCGATATGCAAGGTAACAGTAGTGCCCTCGCTGTCAGGCCGGGCTACATCATGGGCCATGGCATAGTTGCCAGTCAGCAGAAGGTTGCGCCGGTGGTCTGCTAGCGAGCCCGAGACCATTCACACCACGAAGGGCAAGTTCGAGGTCGGCCAGTCACCGGTCAACCATCGGTGATTCTGTCGAGTTTGGGTACATGGCGTGTGGGCGATGGCGGCGTCCGTCAGCTCGTACCGATGCCTAGTGTGATGTTCTGTCATGACTTGGAGGTTCCAAGAATACGGCACTGCTAGGCGACGGGCGGGACTCGACGGCGAGATATGGTCGCCATGGTGAAGGAAACCACATGGAAAGAACCGGGTCTGTCAGAGACGGGAGTGACTCTGGATTGGGAGCAGTGCTCGAGAAGTGAAGGGCCCGGTGTTCCAGTGATGATCTCAGAGGGTGGAGATGGCACCAGGAACACGGTGGATAACTTGCTAAGAATCTGGAGGATCTTCGACCATGAGGAGAAGCGGAGTCTGATGGAGCAAGGTTGTCAAGTTGATAACCCTTGCGTTGCTCCGTTCATTGGGCGGTTGTTTCGACGTTTGTCGACGGCGCATCGGTGGGGTCCACAAGAGGCAGTCGTAAGTGGGGTTGATGGATGAAGTTTCTTTGTATGCTTGCAAAGTCTGTTTCTTTTCTCCCGCCGGCCGCCTCCAACGGTGCGGTTCGACGGCGTGGATGGCGTGAACGGCGTAGGCGGGTGGACTCGAGGTTGGACAACTCGCGTGGTAAGAAGACAAGCGGGAAAATCCAAAAGGTCCCATCTTGCTGCCTTCCTCAGTTTCCCCCCTGCCTAGTGGCTTTCGCTTAGCGTGCTCTAGCCAGGGGTAGCCTAGCCTGTCGGATGACCGAGACGACCGATCGAAGCCAATCACTGACAGCCTTGGCCAAATTGGGACGGACATGTGGGGCATCGCCAGCTCTATCCGGTGGGCCCGTCGCTGCCTCGCTGGGCAACTGCCAACTTCAGGAAAACATCGCGCCTTCCTCGTACAGGAGGGCACAGCTCGGCTAACACGGAAGTCGCCAACTGAGATGTTCTTGCCGTCTAAGGTACTACGTTTCTTTTTCTACACAATTCTTCGACACCTTGGGCATTCTGTCTGCCTCCTGGAAACTTAGGCAAGATCAGTACGTATCGTGGATTTATGCATCCCAATGGGAGGGACCTGACTTCTTCCCGCATCCTTGGACCTTCTCTTTCTCCCGCCCGCATTCCTCGACAAGACATCCAACTATCAACTCTGCATGAGCTCGACTCAGGGACCTTACTATAGCTACACAGCATAGTTTTCAAGCTTAATGCTAGTCTTTTTCATACGATGGGACAACAATCGCCACCTTCTAGGCCCTACCTTTCGTTCACTTGACAACTCTCCGTCAGGTGGTAGCCAGCCGTTCCTTCCACCGCTAATCCCAATCAGGACACGACAAAAACGCGCTCTCAAGTCTCTACCTTGGCCTCACGAATGCTCACTACGCCCTCTCTCACACTCTCTTAACTTACGAAAAGACCGAATTACGGCCATGGCCTAAGAAAAGAAATCAAGCTTGAGGCTTTTTGGCACCCTGGCCGCGCCTAATGCACAATGCTGCACCCCGTCGCCTTACTCGCCCGCCCTTTTCCGTCTTCTCTTCCTTGCAGCTCGCCGCTTGCTAGTTCGCTTTTCCCCTCACGCCGCCGCATCACGCGTTGCCATGAGGGTTGCTACAAGACCTGTTGTCTTTTGTCCACTCGCCATCCTCATTGGAAAAGTTCTTTGGCATAGCGAGATGACGATGGACGCCCATGAGGTAATTTCGCGCGGATTTCCACCGCTCCATCCCACCACCTCCGAATACTCACCCGCCTACCTAGAGTATTGCTACTCACACTCAACTTTTCTCCCCAGATTGTCGGCACTTTACAGCATCATCCCACCATCTCTGGCCCACGGGCTGCCTAGCAGGGTTTGTCGTCGGCTACATTCGCCCGACCAACCACCTGGCTGAGTCACTTTATTGCGGCACAGCGCTGCATAGTCACATCGTCGCTTGACCTAAATCTCACGATGGATACGAGAACCTCCTCACTTCCGGCGAGGGCCGCGGGGTTCCCGCCACTCTGCATCGCATCGCTTCGCCCCAGTGCTGACCGATCTTCGTGGGCCAAAACAAGCTTTTGACCTCTACATCTGCAGTACAAATCATGTCGTTCGCACGACGATATTCACCGCAAGTCGACTATGCCTTTGATATAGTTCTACGGCTTGTCGATTCTCTATGTGGTCCAAGTTGCACGTATTTCGACATTCGGCGAGCATGTTATCGCGCTAGTCTGACTGAGATCTGGGGAAGTTGGGCGGCATAACATTCCATTTTCGCGAACATGCTCAAAAATGTCGATCAAGCCTCACCTAACCCTCGCACGTGCTTCTCGTCCATGGAATTCCTACTGCAAACCTACGGACGGCCGCAGTATCCAGTAGGAACGCAATGGGCGAGTGGTCAACTTGAGCTGGCAGCTTGGCGATCAAGCCACTCCCTTGCACCCACGGCCAGGCGCAACGTTGCTTCATGCTGGGCCGCCACGACGCCGCCTGAATGGCTTGTTCAATCAAATCTTCCTGTGCAAATTTCTGTTAACTCCTGGAGTACAGCTTTTGGTCGACATACGTTTACTGTCAACTGCACGGGTCTGGGTTCTTGACCGAGACTTCTTCAGGGACGCGCCCATCATTGCTTTCTTCTCCAATTCTTGGCTTCTTCAAACCCTCGGGCCCGCCGGCAAACACGAGGTGCAGCTGGGAAACCCTTCCTTTGCATCCATATTGCAGCCTATGCTTCGGGTGCCTCGGCTTTCTCAACTCAACTGTTTAACTTGCTTTTTCTCCAACACCCAGTAAATATTGCTCGAATCAGATCATGATGCTGGACTCGTCTCGTGACGTCAATTCACCCCTTGTTGCACCGATCACGGTCCACTACGCTAAATCGCCTCGGCCCCGCGGGACTCCCTCCGTGAGTGCCAAGCGGGCCAAGACTAAGAGACCCCGTAGCCTTCGATTGTTTAGCTTCTGTCGATTGGCCACTCACAAGACGACCGTCCAGTCACACAAAACGCGCAGCCATTGCTAGTCTCTCCCGAGTGTTTGGCTCTACTTCGTTAGCTGGACGTCCATGTATGCACCTACATATGTTGATTGGATCTCGTTTTAGTCAACTAAGGCGTTAATTGTCTTTTTGAGTTATCGTACCGAACTCGTATCCACAGCCTTCAGCTATAATCTAGCAGAGTCAACGAAAGGTGGCTGCTAATGGGAGGGAGAGACCTGACAAGTGGTGCAAGAAAGCCAGGAATAGACGTAACGCCACGATACGGTGCACCTCTTTGCGATTCATGACTCCAGCCCGTTTGCGGTTGAGGCACGAGTTGGTTCTGCTAAAGACGCATCAAACTAGAAATCTCGCAGCCATCTTCATGGTTCAAAAAGGCCTCGATCATTCGGAAATTTGAACACGAGCGCTGCTCCCGGTGTTCCAAATTCCGAAATGATTGGGTTCGTGTTAAATGAAAGAAGTCTTGAATAGTTCCCTCTACTATTACAACTCATGACGATTAATCGACTAATTTAGTTCAGAATAAAAAGACAAAAAGCTCAATTCAGTCCACCGTGTCAGCCGTGCACGATACCTCACTTGCCTCGCTCGCAACAACATGACACTTTCATCAATGACCAACTTGCAATAGTCGGCCGAAACTATACGACGCATTCGGTCTTCAAAACTCAAAAACATACGGATCGTAAGTTGCCTCTACCTTATGCGATAACCAGCCTTCTGAATCGTCGTCTATCTACCTCATACAATATTAGCTTATTCAGATCGTCACCAGCATCACTCACAGGACAGTCGTTTGATACAATGGACCAGCAATTCCCCTCTCCGAATGATACATCAACCGCCACCAACGTAGCAGTTGCACCAGCAAGTACTAAAATTTGATACCGATGAGATCCAGGCCTAACTGACACAAGTGATACCATTTGTCCTGATGCAAGCCCATCTGTCCACTGCGGACGTTGCATGACTACATGACTACACGGTGGGAGACTGGGCAAAGGAGAGCTTGGTTTTATTGGTACTGTGCTCTCAGATGAACAATTAGTAAGTTCTACAGCAATTACCCGGCTTTCATAAGGTCCCTATTTCAGGGCTGATCGTACCCATAGCCTAGTAAGTTCTAGCGAGGGTGACAAAATAGTATGCTGGTCACAGGCCAACACAAGAGCAGCCGTCTTCCTGTTGGTTCAACCTCCATTAGTCTCCCTCTCCTAAGTTTACGAGAATATACCCCTACCAGAAAAACCTAAAAGTGAAGAGCTCAGAGAATAAAAGTAGTTTGGAGGATACATGTAGTAGTAGCAACAGAAATGAAGGAAGCCTGAGCGTCAAATCGTTCTGTCACCCACTTGTATGTCCTGCAACACATTCACTGATAATTATATGACTCGTAAATCTGGCAACGATGGGGCAGCATCTCCTACCAAATCGGGATTCGGAGGTCCAGCTTGGTGATTGAGCATCTTCAGCATCATCGTCATTTGAATGAGAACTAGGAGAACCTCGTATTTCAGGGGATAGACAGTCGCACTTACCTAGAGGTTGGCTTGACGGCTTAAAGAAGGAGCGGAAAATAGGGCAACGATTGCTTAGGTTTTCGTGACGCCTTAGCCTCTCTTGTATTAGGCATCACAGTCCTATGCACACATCAGTATCCTCTCGGGATTCATTTTGAAAATCATTCACGGTATTAGTCGTTTGCAATGGAAAGTCTAGTCCAGATCACCTGGATTTTGCCGCACGCTCTATCAACCCACGAACACCTTACTCTGGCAAGCCATCCGCCGACGCGTCACGTGTTAGACATAGTTGGCAGTGCCGTCAAGTCTGGAATTCTCCACCATCCAAGCAATAGAAAAAAGAACGTTGATAGTGTTCTTGGAGGCACTACATAGATGGCGGCGAAAGCTGAGCGTTCTCAAAGTATTTCCAGCTACGCCACCAATCAAGGACCATCAAAATGATTGAAACAATCATTCTAGACCATTGAAGTCTCCTGGGTACTTATCATGGTGAACCAGAGCACAGGGGCCATTGTAAACTATTACGCCGTTCATCCCGACTGAGACCTCTGCAGCGTAAGGCAGCTTATGCATGTCAACGCCTAGATGTGAATGATAGTCAGCAGTCTACGATAACATACTGCAGTAGCCGGCGAGGCGCCAGGCCTGAATGATCTCCCCCGGTACGTCTAGGCACTAGCCGAAAACGCCCCGCCGCAGCACATGCTAAGCCCTGCAGTCCTGGGCGATCGGCTGGCGGTGTTTCTCAAGGCAGACAGACGCGGCCGCGCATCAATGCCTGTAAAGTGCCTGTAAATGGGGAAAGGGGGAAAAAGAATACCGCTAAATTACCTTATACATCAAACACCCACGCTATTGCAACACCTAAGATTTCCTGTTGAACAGAATGGATCCGAGATAATCACCAAACGCTGAAGGTTATGAAGGCGGACGGACAGATGCTTGAGGATCGCATTCTCAGCTACTTAGTCACATAGAGCTCACGCATGTGTCTCCAGGCGGGCCAGGAGACAGACAGGTAGCGATGTCTCAATTCCTGCGCCGCCGACCTCATGTTTTGCAACAAATCCGGGGTTCCAGTGGTGACCAATCAGCGACTATCATTCTAACAAAAGTAGATTGACATGAATTCTCTCCTTCAGGCTTAGTGCCTAGTAGCGCTCACTGCCTCCAGCGTATTTGCCAAACTGAGAATAGCCTCCTTCTGTCAGTCACGACGTCACTGTCACCCGTAACGGCTATATATCAGGTGCCAAGCGACGCCGAGACGTCTCTCAGATTCACAATCACCTCGTCAAAGACAGTTAAACGAAATCATCACCACTCGAAACTTCCTCGACGCTATCTAAGCCATAACGACAGCTGAATTCCTCCGGTAGACATAGGTCGTGCCACTTATTATTCCATAACATCAGAGTACCGCATTCGAAGCGTGCTAATCATTCCCAACCCATCTCAATCATGAGCTCAGTCTCGTCTGGAAACTCGGACTACGGCGACGCGCCACCTGGTTACAAGGAAGCGATCGAGTCAGGAAGCTTCGTGTCACCAAGCGACAGTGGTATAATCAGCCAACTTGACATCCAAGCCATTGGCTATGACACGAACCAGGCCCTCACGGGTAACGTGCTGGAGAATATCCCCGTGCACCGCGTTGGCTCTGGCGAGCTAGAGTACACATCCATTCGGCTGAAGAAGAGCTCCAACTCATGCGCTCTCATCCGCGGGCCTGACTCTAGCCAGGCACCTCTGATATCAACAATCTACCGTTGGGGCCCCGGCCGGCGTCCCAGAATGAGGATTCTTGCCCCGGGAACTACTGCCACGGTGGAAGAGGCAATCAACTCGGACCACCTCGTCTGCGAGGTAGTCGAGGTCAAGAGCCGTAACATGATGTCGCGCTCGCAGGAACTCAAGACGTCGTTCGGCACCTTTGAGTGGCGCTACGGAGGGCGCGACGAGCGCAAGGAAGCCTCCCAGGCGTCCTCACTCCTGGTCTTGGAACGCACCGACGACGCCGCCTCTGCCTTGGCCGGTAACGGTGGCAAGGTAGGCAAGCGCGGCGTTCCAGTCGCTCAGCTTGTGCGCAACAAGGAGCTTCGTACTCAAGGCACGAGTCGCTGGATGGGCGGCAATGGCGGTCGTTTGATTATGAACCTTGGAATGTGGGCGGACGACAAGAAAACGACTACCAAGGACGCCGAAGCTTTCATCGTCGCCAGCTGTATCCTCATGCTCAAACGAGAGGCTGATCGGTTCAAAGACAACACGATTGCCGCCGTTGTCTAAGTCAGATGAGATCGTTTACGTGTAGACGATGAGACTATCTATGAGGAGGCCTGTGAGCGGCGAATAGTGTTTTTTCTTTTTTAGAACATGGCGTCAGGTGTGAAAGGAAGTGCTTACGAAGACTGCAATATATCTTGTTGGTATTTGGGCTTTTTGTGGCACAACCATGCTTAGACCCTTTTCGAAGTTTTGTTTCACGGGCTTACCGTGTTGTTGGACACAGATCAAGCAAGTCGCTATCGACCTCTAAGTCTAATGCATCTAATCAAGTGCTGGATAGCATCGAGATGTTTCTCTCCGGTTTTCTTCAATCCTGATACTGTTTAGCACCTTGAATGAGGTACGGCATCTGGAAACACCAAGCCTTCAACATGGAGTAACATGGATCAATACTTGATTTGTTTCATCTTTCATGATCCGCACGTACCTACAAGTTTGACGTTATCCAGCACTCGATGGGATGTATATATTGCTCGTAGGTAGCCGATGAAATACATCGCCCAAGGTATTCGCAGGGTCAGCGGACAAACTACAGTCGTGCAAAATCTTGATGGAAGGACCCAAATTGTTCTAGTGTTCGGAAGTCATTATTAAATGAGAGATTCTTAGTCCTGCGAGCAATTCTGGATCTCATGATGATGTTAGTAGGTATGTACCCTAATGCCATCTAGAAACTTTCTATCCGGCACTTCAGTCCGAATGTAGGAGCTTTCACTGCAAAAGCAATGGAAGTTGTAGGACTGTTCAACTTCCGATATATCGAGGGCTTGTCATTGGCTGTGATGTCTCGCTGGCTGCGTGTGTGGCGCAGCACGTCAGCCCAATGAACTTCCGTATCGTATGCCCATCACATTGTTTGCTATGCTATCAAAGGTTCGAAGAACCTGAAATTCGAAGCCAAAGGCCTTCCGTACCTGGCATGACTTTTCCTCATTCCTCGTCCCAAGAGCTGCTCTGACGTAGACAATAGGAGAAATTCACGTCTAGCTTGCGTTCTACCTCGGAGCCGCTATTGAGGGCACTGCCACAATACAGATGGGAAGGGGCTCATCGTTCATGCAGCAAAGTGAACCCGAAGCAGAAGTTGTTCGACGAGTTGCTTGATAACGCGAAGTCAGTGTGACCTGTCCTTGCGATGTCATTCGAGCATCAACCGGGATTCGTTGCAGGCTTTCAGTGAGTTTCTCTACTTCCACTTTAAGGTACTAGCAACTGGACTTCCCTAACTTTACTGATTCGTACAGGTCTGCTGCAAGATCTGCTTCGTCTTTCTCTGCGGTTTTCCAAATGACGCCCTTTCTGCAACAGAACGATCTGTTTTCTGGGAAGCAAAGAGCAATACAACCCAGTTACGCAGCGACTTTGGACCTCACGGTCGCTCTTGAGCAAGCCTGGCTACATGACGATGATACTATTGGCGCTGTGAGCCTGATACCAGGTGCCATGACGGAATCAGAGCCATTTGAGGTGTAATCAGCTTCGACAATGAAATGGGGTCGAAGCGGTACAAAGAGAAAGGCAACTCAAGAAGAGGTGGATTAAAAACTTCGATATCAAGGATATGCCCGGGTACAAGTCGACATTGATGGATCTGGTTGCACGGCAGAAATGGATATTTCATGGATCCAACGAACAGACTGTGGGAGTACATGGAACCGATCTCCGCAGTTCTGAAGCCCCAGTCAGGCCACAGATTCAGGGCTGCATTGAGTTGGAAGACCTTCATGAAAGGATGCGGGATGATCTGAACGAGATGGAGTCCCAATTTACAGACTAGCGTGAATCACGAGAGACGTTATTGCACACATTTATTCTACTCAGCTACCTTAGTAAAGTAGAAAGAGTGAATACAAAAGACGATTTTCTTCGAGATCACTAACTTGCTGTGCCGACAACCATCTCACACGTTGATCTCGCTAATTGTTCCCCTATTTCACAGTGAAAAGCTCATGAAGAGGCTGTTTGGCAGGCATACACTTTGCTCGAATAGTTTTTTTTAAATTGCTGGGTGCACAAAGCACTTCTTCCGAGAAGGTTGCGTCTCAAATCGTGTAGGTTGGCTCCGGGGGCATCCTAAATATCTCTCAGAACTTGCTTGCTGGCCCAAAGCTGCTCGCCAACACGGCAGGGTCATCTAGTGCACTAAAGAGGACATAGTGTTAGTCGACTCTCGCTCCTTACAGTCATGCTGCCGCAATGATTTACGCGGCTATGCTCGCGGTTTCACGGGGAAGCAGCTTGCAGGCTTTAGGAGAAAAGCATGAAACGAAAGCACAGAGATAGAATATATGAAGACGGGTCTGGTCCCTCACGTAAGGATCAAGGCAGTACAAGGAGAGTGTGGAGAGCGATGACAACAACGTTCCTATAAGGACTTAAAGACTACGACTAAAGAGAAGGAAAGCTTACAAGATTTCCAGAGAAACAGGTCCAGGTCTCTCACCTTTTGGTTCCAGTGGAAGGGTTAAACGAAGCCAAGCGCGGGTTCGAGCATAGTTGCGACTTACCCGGAAGAGGCTCGGCATGAAATGAGCAATGGAGGCATCGCATTTTCTTTTTCCGGAAATGATGGACGGTCATTCAAGTGCACAAGCATGGTGGATTACTTACAGTCTCATGGTTACTAGTATGATTTGTCTGCTTGTAAGGATGGCGTCAGGTCACAAGGGTTAAAGGAGCATTTGAGAAAGTCCTTCAATGTCAAGACCCTGTTGAAGCACTCTCCACTACATGTCCGTGGCAGTAATCCGCAAATTGTGGAACTAGCCTTTCGTCGACCATTGCAGACTGCGGTTACAATCTTTTCGTTTCTGGCACCGTCGAGTTTGAAAGAATTGGCTTGGGAGGAGGCAATGATGCCCTACAGGGAAGTCACCTTTGACTGGAGGTGATACGCTACTAGTCGTTAAGACATCTTCCCTTTCAAAGATGGGCAACAGAAGATTTTGAGAAACCGTTTCTAGTTGTTTCCAAACCACAGACAGCAGCCTTTGCAAGTTGGTTCGTTTGCTGTCAGACTACTTTATCTGCCCAATAGCCTGCATTTGCCAAGAATGAAGCATCTAAACCTCATGGTACTACTACTGGTCAGTCTTCCAAACTCCGACGCATCACCATGGCCCCGCTAGGTATTCCCCGTGGATCTTCGCGGAAAAGATCGGCTTCACCGTTACCTAGCGATGTAAATGGCCGCTACCATTTACGCAGCAAGGCAAAGGTATTCAAATTTATCTTGTCATCGACCCTGAATTTCGAATATCATATGACTAGACTGACTTGCTCCCATTTATTTGTCAACGAATTTGTCCCTGGCCACCGGATCAAAAGCTAACCTTCTCAAGAGAGCGAAAGTAGGCAAGAAGCTAGGTTTCTTGTAAGTCTCTACATCGAAGGTACAGAGTGGGCTGAAGCTGACAACAACATACTAGATCACTGCCAGCTGAGTTACGCAACATGATCTATGACCTTACTCTCGTACAAAGACGGATAATCATCTGCTGGGATCATAGCAACATGCGTTTCCGACACCATCGAGACCATCGTGTCTCTGGCTCTCTCCTACGCACCTGTAAGACAATTCACGCCGATGCCAGAGCTCTGATGTACTCGACTACATTTGAGATTGAGAACATGGATTATCTCGAAAGATGGCTGAAGAGAGTCGGTCCGGGAGCTGTCAACATACGGGAAATTAAATTGACACGCTCGTTCCAAGCATCCTTTGCTCAAAGTTACGGGGTCAATCTTCCGGTATGGAACCAGAGAGATTACAGGGCTACCACGCGAAGGGTTGCCAAACTACTCGGTGGCTGCCAACATCTCGAAAGTCTGGACTTGGGCTTCCTGTACACCACGGTGTACCAGACGACGACCCTCATCGAGAACAAAGATAAACCTGCGTACTGGCAAAGGGAGGCACGACTTCTTGCCGAAATGGTGTTCAGCGATTTGTCAGTCTTGCTAGTAGCAGCCAAGGCTTCCGGCAAAACACTGGATCAAGTGGCAGGCTTACCTAAAATTCACCACAAGAACTTTGATTGTATTGAACACCACCCCTCCAGTTTGGGGAATGGCCAGCCACGTCGAGAGACAGCTTGTCACATGAAGTTGTTGATTGCGAAGCACATCGGAAACTAATCACCACCCCAGAAGCCAAATAGCACAGCTTCTTTGGCATGGTAGTCCATCTACATCACAGCAACCGGATACTGGATGAGCACCAACGGCTCAAGATGTGTTGAGTCTATTGGAGAGCGATTAGCGTTCCAACGATTGGCTTGCTCTCGATGATCGTCGGAGTAATACTCGACAAACAAGCAAGAAGCGGGCATCACCGGCAAGATGGATCGTGCTAGCGTCTGATGACACCGGGAAGGACGGCATCTGCTTGGGCAGCAGATGGAAGACATGCAACGGATTAGGCTGATACTTGGAGGTCAAAAGCAGCATAGCTATCAATCCCAATTTCCTACATTAGTTATTAGCAAAAAGAAGTGCAATCCATAAATTGAACATGGCTTTACTTACCGGCACTGCTGAGATATCTGGCTTATTCTGTTTACCCCGCTCGTCCATTCTTAGGGCACCAGATAATCCTGCTATGTGCATTAGTGATCAGTCATGTTTCTAGGTTTCTGAAAGGGGTAACTAGCCGGAAAAGAGAGAGTTCGGGCAGAGAAAGATTGTGATGTCTCTCGTTGCAGGAGAGAACGATTTCCGTCATCATGATGAACGGCGTCGGCTTTTGGAGAGGGAAGACTGAGAATGGACTTGTTGCATTGAAGACAGCCCATATTCGAAATCTCGGGCCTGAAAAAGAAATTTGGTCAACGAATTGTTTTGCGGACTTCGGGGGGATTTGGGTGAAAGAGGTAGGGCTCTTTTAGAGCAAGCTTGGCCATGCCTTCCACCTGGGAACAGTCGATCGCTCATCATCATTTTTCAAGTTAGATGTTGCACAACTATAAGATGCAGGGGACCCATCGATACACAGATAATTACCTAGAGCATAGGAGGGCCTGTTATCACGAACCGAGTGTGCCATCATGATCAGACACCGCACTCCGGGGCGACACTTGAAATCAAACAAATCCGCCTGTATCATGATTTGTTGAAACAATTCCGTGGCGAATGGCGTAGCCGTTTGGCGCATTGGCCAGTGTTTTTGGCAGGAATTAAAGGAATGGTCTTTATGGTATGTAATGACTAGCCAGAGGATTAGGATCTAGTGTCTAAAATTGGTATGGTGATAACAAGGAAGAACTTGGTTCGACTTCAAACAAAACATACCTCAACACTGGCCATTGATCCTAGCCCAATTCTCTGAGCAATCTGTAACTGTTTGCGTGAACAAATATTTCCAATCCACGTCGCGCGCAAAAATTCAGAATATGTAATTTGAATGCTTATACGAATTTATAGGGTATCAAATGGAGCGTCTGCTTCTAAATTACAAAAATTTGTATGGCCAAATGACCTCGCTCTGTGAAAGCTGTCGGTGCCTCTGAATGATGCATTGTATCTCGTGATATCTGGCAGGTTGACTTCGGATTGCTAGCGGGACATGGAGCCATAGGGCATAGGCCGCAGCATCGCCTTGCTTGTGTCGATATTGATTATGCCAGCCCTTTACTCATGCCATTGTGACAAGTATTACTGGTGTCCTGCACCTGGTTTGATGTGGGTATTAGTTAAGAAGCGTCGAACTTGATATTTGCGCTGTCTCTGTTTCGGCGTTCGCAGTCTTTCGTAATGTTCGTTGGGGTGCTTTGTCACTGCAACCTAGAGTTACGCACATCAGCTTCCGCTCTTGACAAGTAGCTGGGTCCTCTAGTCATATAGAAAATCGGGATTACCTTTCTAGTGACGTTCGGTTGTTCACCGGTGGTTGATCCAGTAAATGAAGCCGCCCACACCAAATATACATGTACCAGCTGTGCACATAAGTCAGCTCAAGTTTGGGTGACAACCATGCAGCTCTGATGTTAATTCACTGACCCACTGCCAGTGTCTCTAGTACGGTGTGGTCGACGCTTCTTTTCATGATTTCGTGTCCGACCTCCATCATCCCCTCCTGGATGAGTCGCGTATCGAGAACAGGCATGTTGATTAAATGGGTAAGGTAGATAAGGAACCACGATTTCGATGGACCAACGAAAGAGCGCAAATGAGTGCAAATAATCAGAACAGACGGAGATGCGCAACGATCACCGGGATCAAGAACCTGAACGAGTTTTTCTTTTGCGGACAAACTAAAACAAAGTTGTGGTTCTGGGTGCCCATATATCATCAAATCCTAGGTCTCTCCGATCGCGTCGGTCCCGCATCACAACCATGCCGGTGCGACGGGGGAGGGCCGGGGTTCGTGGGATAATCACCAGATAATGCCAAGAGATCCGAAGCGCCAATCTGGGTCTGTATGGTCATTCCCACACACGCGGGCTTGGGAATGGGCTCATGTCATCTCATTTCGGTTTCAAAAGGGGTTGCAGCAAATGCGAGAGGATTGCGTTATCACGTTCAGAGGAGATGGTTCCATTGACTAAAAGGTAGTTTCGGGGCCGCCCTTGAACTGGGCTGGTACCGGGCCTAGGGGTCGCATTCTCGTCGAAGAACCCCACCAACTCATCTGTCACCTGGGGTTTGTGGGTTTACTCCAACCTTGATTTGCGGATCTGCGAACCGCTGCCGATGATTACTGGACAATTCAACTCACTATTCTACTTCAACGCGCTGTCACCTGCACCTCAAGAAGTTGAAGCCATTCAGTCAACGCCTCTTTTCTCATTCACCTTCCAATACAGCAGTCCTTTTTCTCTTCAAGTTTTACCAACAGCACAGCCTCACACCATTGTCCTGCGACTTTATCGTGATGTGAAGCCCAAGTGAGTCCATTCTGAGGCGAGAACACTGTGGCCCCCCACCGTTTCAGCCTCCTGAAACAAGGAGGATCTACGGAGAGTTGCGTGAACCCCTGCCCGACTGAATGCCGCGTCGGCTCATCTACCCTCTCCGTCCGCCGGCCAGAGCATTTCATTACATTAGACGGCGAGGAGTTCTTCATCGTCCAATGTCAGGAACCAATCCAGCGATCACGTTCCTCGGTTGCAATTTTGCAGGCCAGTGGAAACGAGCGCCGCTTCAGCCGCATCCAATTGATAGACACCACTCGCTCAACTTCGTCCTATTAAGATTCCCGAGTCCGACCTACTTGGATATCCATATGTCCATAACTGGCCCATTGTGATAAAGTTTTTACCTTTTGTAACGCTGGTAGCCAAGCTACAAACCTCACTTGGCAGCCGTGGCTCCCCTGATGTGACAAGCCGCGACGTCTTGGCCAAGCTCTTGGCCTCGTATCTTCCAGCGCTGCCGCGTCGGCACTTACGTGTGATTTGAGACGACCCAAGAATTTTCGGCCGCAGGAATATTCAATATTATCTTCCACAATTAACAGTGACCACGGTTGTCAGAAGCATTAGTTTAGCTTTCGAAGAACGATCGATCAGGCTCTCGATGATGATCTTGTCGATCAAGGGCTTTTATAAAGTCTTTCACCCAGCCACCCTGACCTGCCCCCTTTCCCCCCTTCTTCAAATTCACACCGATGAAGAGCTCAGACATCAGCGCCACTGTGATACGGAGGCAAATTAGAAGAATACCACCTGTACATTGGTTCAGTAGCCGGATGATGCAGAGGGTACTACCCCAACTCTCATTGACGTGCTTCATTGTTCAAGGTCTCGCGTTGCAAAATCCGTATAATAAATTCTGACTGACGGTTTTGCCATTAGTTGTCGAAGCTTTGGTTATGCGCAGCCTTCATTGACATGTTGTGGAGTCGGTTCACGATCTGATACCTCGGAGCCTGTCATCCAGCTCAATTCTCCGTTAACAGAATCCGGCAAGTGGATTGGTTGAAGCGAACTGATGATGAGGTTTCAGGTTTCTAGCCATAACGCATTAATAGCAAGCAGTAATGGAGCTATCGTTCTTTAATTCTCTTAGGGTAAGCATATCACCATGGGTTTTCAAGGTGGACGTTTCGAGATGGACTCCGCAACTACTTGATATCTAGGATCGGCAGAACAGACATCAACGTTTAGATTGCCGCAAACGCAATGTAATGTAGCCCTATCTTCGAAACTGAAATATCGCCGCAGACTGCGAAACGTAAGTACTTATCCAAATGGGTAAAGTAACTTCATCTTGGGGTTCTTAGAAAGCCGCCCCAGTGCATAAGCTCATGCTGTCCTGGTATACCTCATGTGTTCATAATGACTCGGCTATGGTCATATTTGGATTAAATTTTCGTTCAGAACTTAGCCAAAGGACAATCTTCTGATTAACGAGAATGCTTATGGGCACACCCGTGGACTGAATGACGAAGCAGCCCGCCACCCCCCCCCCCCCTTCTCGAGCCAAAAAAGGAAAAAAAAACGGACTCATTATACGTTGCGTTAAGGTAGGTTCAAATACACTACTGGCCTACCGGATTTCAAGATGCGTCTAGTTTCGACCGACACGAAAGAATATGTCCTGAGATCAAAAGACGTTGAGAATCCATATCTTGTCCCAGATAGAAAAGAAGAAGCTTACGATCGATTTCACTCAGCTAATCAATACAGACTACAATACTTCGAATCTGCAGTTTTTACGATTTCACTTGTATCTAGTCTCAGATTGTAGTTGCACAAAGCAAATCAGACGCCATAGAGAACTAGGACTCGTCTTAACTCAGTTCGATTTGTAGTGTTCGGCGTAGGTAGGTTTAGTGTTTGTAATAGCACAAGTGATCTAGTTTTACATGTATTAGCCAAAGTGGCCTCCATCGATATAGATGCCTCCAAAATCATAGCATTGAGCTAGAGTATTACTGTTGCGAGGTTCGATACAAGAGCACCGACGGTGAATTTAATCCGTGACTATTTCACGTCCTATCAAAGGGACCTGGAGCTTTTCTCCCAGAAGCTTTCCACATGAAAATCTCTCTCATCTGCGGATCTTATTGGAGAAGCAGTGAACGCATATATAGAAGTTCTTACAATATTGCCAGCAATCGTGATTGCTGGCTCGTTGATACTCGATCTTCCGAAAAGTCGTGGAAGCTATCGGAATGATCCTCCATCGCTTGACGAGCGACCTCTAGCCAATAATCGCAAGACTGACTCCATCGTAGTATGCAGATCACAATATTCAGACTTGACAGCTCTGGTTCCTCGCGCGATATAATTTATTCAGGGGATGAGTACCTGATGGACTTACCACCAATAATTGAGAAAGTAACTCCGGAGACTAGAGTGATTTAATCAAGCAAAATTCCGCTGGCGAGGCCTGAATCACTTATGACCAGTCAATATCCTTGCTTCCTGTCCAGCCACGTTGTTTATTGAATGCCTCGGGCTCCTGGTTCGTGAGGCATTCGCCGAGAACTTCTCTGTCTTTTCACATTTTATGTCAAACTAAGCCTCTTGTTCACTGTTGACGAAACTCCATCACTTAGTTCAAATGTTTCAGAATCAGAATCCGTGGGCCAAGAATTGAGTGGCCTAGAGTGCATTCAGGCTTTAGGTCAAATGGGTGGAGTAAGCTTTTGCGTTTGACCTCGTGATCTATTAGTTGAAATAAGCACTCACTAAAGCAAGCCAGATACCAGTTTGCGCGAAAGCTGTCTAAAAATTATACTCCATTAGGCTGTACAACGAACCCTTGGAGGAAAGTCATGTTGTACAGTTAATCTGGAAGAACACGAGACTTTACAGAGTGATCACAGACTGAACGCAAAGCGTGCAATGGAGAATGGAGAGGGAAGACTGTGCTTCAAAACGACAGTTGAATTGCACTTGAAAACACACTCGTGCAACAAAAGGTTGGGCTTCATAGGAAACGCCTGTTTGAAAACATTGAAGACACCTATGAAATGAAGATTCTGAATTCAGACAGACTTTACTCATTTTACTCGTCTAGATTGCCATTCGGCTTTTTCTATGTACTGTGCTCCTTGATGTATCTTCTGACAACCTCCCGCAAGTCACTTTGGGGAAGTTCCAGAATCTTGTTTGACTTATCTTCCTCTTTGATAGTGTGGCCAGGTACGTCGCCAAACCAGTACTTTTGCAAAAACTCTTCAAAGGGGAAACGTCCCCCAGCCTTGAGCTTCTCCTTACCCTCCTTCTCTGCCTCATCGGCAGTCTTATGCTCGACTGTGAACTTTGACCCCGTCTCCTCTTCAAACAGCTTGTGGAGCTGGTTCTGTGTGACTTCGAATTCGACAATGTTAATGTACTTATTGGCGGTTTCGGCGGGGTGTTGCAGCACCGCGACAATGCCCTCAGCGAGGAAAGCAAGCGATGTCGTCGAGACCTTCTGGTTTCCGGAGTCGAAGATTGTGATGCTCTTGTTCTCGAGTGAAATACCGTAGATTCCTCGGGTGATGCTCTGTTAGGAAGCAGTTAATTACGCTTTCAGAGATTCAGACAAGTTGAAATGTCGATGGCGAGGACTTACCCAATCGAAGAAAAGACTTGTACCAATACCAGTCCAGGTGAAGCTTGGGTTAGCCTCGGCCTTCTTGATCAAGTAGTCGACAGCGGCCGTCTTGGACTTGAGCCAGTCGCCAAGAATCTCACCCTCCAAGGTGCGTGTGTTGAGGCCATACTCGGACGGGATGAAGCGCTTCACGCCAGCAGCGATCGCCGCATCGATGAGCGGGTCTTGTGAACCGGGGACGATGACAGCGACAGTGGAGATGGCAGAGATGACGGCATCCTGACCGGCGAAGGCGGCCGTGAGGGACTCAACAGACGACAGGTCTGCCTTGCGGACGGCGACGCCAGATGGGAATGTTGCGGTGGAAGCTTCGCGGGAGATGGCTGTTACTTCAAATTTCTTTTCCAGGAGGGCTTTGACGACTCGCAGACCAACGAGGCCGGATGCCTAGATTCAGTTGTGAGCTTCGGTCTCATGTCGCAGTGTCGTCGAATTACTACTTACACCAACGACGGCAACTGTTTTGATGGACATTTTGAATAGTATTTAATATTGATCGACGAATAGAGCGCAACGAAAACCCGAGAGAGCGAAGACTACGCATGCAAGGCACCAGATCTAGCTATTTATACGTGAAGATAGAGCCTACAAACAAGGGGAGTTCTGCCCCTCCAACCCCTCCATCCCCGTCATGAACCCTAAGGTTTGCGCCATCTAGCATGCCGGTTCTGGTTCCGCGGAGTGCAACCCTACGCGGGGGCTCTATATTCAAGCTTCCCCGAAGACAAAAAATAGTGATATTTTCGCAGCGATACCCACGCAGTTGCCCTTGCATCATTTTAGATCGACAATATGCCGCTGGTGGCCCTGGTAGAGCCTGGTAAGGTGGCATGAGAGACCCCATATAGTCCTTGTTTATGGGTCGAAGCCCGGGTGTCCTTGCCGGGTAACAATGGCGAGTCAGGACACCCGGCTCCCACTTTGTGCAACCTGTTATCTAGACGGCTCCCACTCCTCACTTTCCACCTTCCATAAGTTTAGTGAAGAGTAGGTTTTTGAATAACTTGGCACACACTTGCATAGCCCTCGGTTTCTCCAGGCGGTTCCTTCGCCATCGGGACTGGCCGTCTGCGGTACCTGACGGCAGCACCGTGACAGGGAGGTTTCCGACATTCCGCACCTGGATGTGCTTGAAGATAAACTGCCGCAGCTGCAAGCCGAACATGGGTCACGGCTACGGCCCGGAAAGACATTTAGCTCCGTGGAGTCCATTACTACCTACTGTGACGTAGCTGGCCGTCGCACTGCCGGCCTATCTCACGGGATCTTTCGTCTCTTCAGCTTGACAACTTTGAGAACAGGGCTCAACTGGGCTTGAGCCACCTTTATTAAAAAGTGGCACTCTCGTCGTCCAAAATCCTAAGAGACCAAATCACATTACTCGTAGATCAGATATCGGGAATGAGTGATGATATCTCTGTACAACTTTTTGCATGTAACTAAAAGTATGTATAACACAGCCAAGGAGGCATCTCAAACCGCCTTATTCAGCTTCCAGCCACCAGCAAACCCGCGCGAAATGCAAATCGTGACACCACTAGCCGCAAGGCAACATCCCGACCAGATCCAACCGCTCAAGTATCCGTGCGACCTGGACAGCGCACCAGCAATGGGCGATCCGAACAGGAGTGCCACCGACATGACAGTAAAGGCCATACCAAACCTGGTGCCCATGTAACTCTTGTCAGCTGTAAGCTTGACGAACGTAGTCGGCTGCAAGCCGAAGAACGTTCCGCTGAAGAAGCCATACACCACAGTGACGGCAATGAGTGAAGCCTGGCTGTTCGTCGCCGCAAAGCAGAAGGCGGCAATCGACATGACGAAGACGGCGCTAGCAATCATGTTCATGATGCCAATGTAGGGTGCAAAGAAGTTGGGGATGATGCGCCCAACAATAGAGGCGCCGTTAAGCATCGAGAGGAGGTAGAGCGCAACATTCTCGCTGGCCATGTGGTTCTCGAGGGCGTAGCTCTGCACGTAGACGTACGGCGTGTACATGCCCAAGAAGAGCAAACAGCAGGCGCCGAGGAAGAGAAGGAACGGGAGATCGCGGAAGACAGACTTGTCGACGAGCGGTCGCCGCTTGAGAGGGATCTTGAGTTTCGATGTCTTGATGACGAGGTTGGCTACGCCGAGCGTCACAAGCGCGATGAGCGCGAAGACGAGGACTGTCCATCGGAAGCCGATCTTAGGCTGGATTGCTCGGAACATTGCTGGTAGGACGAGACTGCGCATGGTGTTAGTCGACTCTAGGTTCTAGCTTCTCGCTCAAAGCGACACTTACCCGCCAACACCGCTACCGTTGGCCGCGATGCCATTGGCAAGTGCAAGCCTAGTAGAGAACCATTGCGATGGGAGTGCGACGCCTAGCGTAGACAGACATCCTGTTCCGAGGCCGATGATGAGACCCTGGCAGAGCAGGAACTGCCACAGGTTCTGGCAGAAGGCTTGGAGGATAAGCCCGATCAGCACCAGGATGGATCCTACCACCAGCAGGTATCGTGAGTAGCCCAGGTCGTAGATTGGGCCGATGATGAAACCCAAGAAGACCATAAGAAAGTTTTGCAGGGAACCAATTGTCGAGATCTCAAATGCAGTGTTGTTTTTCAGGAGATCAGACTGGTAGTAGGCCTGAAAGGCACCGAAGCTCGAGATGAGACCTGGAACGATACCCAGTCAGCGAACCACATTCCAAGAGGAGGATGTCCCATGTTGGCGTTGCCGCTGCAACAACATCTCACGATGGTTGCATCGCGTAAAACGCGAATCTGAAGATCGATCTTGCTTACCCCATGTGTTAAAGTAGATGAAGAAAGACCCAAGGATGTGGAGCCATGCTTGTAGACCACCGTCAGGAGGTCCAGCAGGGGTTGTTGTTGACTTCTCTGCAGTAGGTGATGCTTGAGACGATGATGTCGGAGGGCTATCGTTACTGCTTGTGTTGTCTGTTGCAATGACGGAGGTATCTATCGCGGCCTCGCGTGTGCTGGCGACCTTCTCCAGCTCCCTTGGACTCTCATTCGAAGTTGGAGCCATTGTCGACTGAGCAAATCGTCCGAACCCAACTCCGTCCTACGTTAGCGGCTCAGGGCAGGATGCCAAAGTCTATCCCAGCTTCAAATGGTCTGAAAGATTGCGATAACCGCCTTATCAGTGCGCCAATGCGACAAAGTAAGGTAGAGAACAAAAGAAAGTTTAAGTGATGAAAGGGGGTGTGTGAGTTAGCATCAATTGGACAATGCAGGGTCTCAGTCGAGAAACGCGGTTCGGCAGTAGGCAAAATACTCCCGAGCCACGTCTTCTTACGCTCATCTAAGCAAAAAATTGCGTTGTCAAAGGCCCCTTTTTTCATGGGTTGTGGGGAAACTTTTTGCCTTGGAATTTTTTCTTCTTATTCAGTCGACTGACTGATAAGATGAGCCGATGGTCTTGTATTGATTCAACCCACTTCCCTGTTCTCAATGCAACCCTTTATTGTTGATGTGATCGGGTCCCCCGACAGTACCCGCTCCGCAACGCGGCACCTGCAGGAGATCGCATCTACATTAGATGTGGCGCCTCGGTATGGCATCGGAATAGAACCGTCTTTAATTCTTCCTTGGGAAGGTAAAATCTTCAAGTTAGCAACAGGTGCACTGCCCTAGGTGTTGGGCTCTACCGAACCTGCACTTCGCATTGATCAATAGCATCGCTTGACACAGCATCTATGAGACTCAATTCATTCCTCTCATCTTCTCTCAGATGGATGGCCAAAACCAATGACAATATGCTGGCGAAAGCGAGACCTCGGCCGGTGCCCGGGAAAGATCGTCAGAGGTGCGGAATGCAAACCGGCGACAGCGCCAGTTTAGGCAGGCTAGCCCACTGATCTGCCGCGCGCGTCGGGTCGCCACTGGGGCAGAGTCCAGGTTATGCTGGCCAGAATGCAACGGGTTTGACAACCTGCCAAAATGGGCTGACAACCCATCCACAGATCCAGCTGGATAGTTTTGCCCATTTCGGGTCAGAAACTGGGGCCGGATCTGACCATGTTTCGGCCGTTCTCCATTAACCATTGGTCGTGCGTTTTCGGCACTGGCCGTTGACTGCCCGAGGTCGTCGTAGCCAAATTGAGATGGTATTGAGGGAATGACGTACAGTCATCACTAATTGTCGTGTTGTTTAGGTTCAAAGTAACCATGGTTGCCGTGGAAGCTGGGCCGAACAATACTTTTTCTGGAAGTGCTCTGCTCAGCCCTGTATGAGTGTCATTTCAATTGATCAAATTTGATCTAACAATAGGATGACGACCAGAGCAAGTCAACCAAAGGCTCTCAGGAAAGATCAATAGGAGAAGAGGGACTAGAATTCGCTGTTCTCACTAGGGTGTCTGTTGCACGGACGCGACGACCCAGAGGGTTCATGATAACAAAGGCGAGCACTTTACGCGCGCATTTCAATAACTCAATCTTGCGCACTAAGAAAAGAATTGACAGCAATACTTGACGATCGTAATGGCCATCCATCATCATCATATCTTGAGATGTTCCAAAACAAGCGCATCATAAGGTTTGCTGGAAACCCTTGTTTCATGTTGCTACGCGTAGAATGCAGATTGACCGGGGACTTCGAGAAGACTCTTGCTAGAATGTATTCGGTCTAGAATAATTAACCTCTCAAATTCCTCGCCATTGAGGTGATGAGCGCAAGCGACCTGTCGTCGTTCATCGTCGAGAAGCTTCTAGAATTCTCAACCTCCCCTGTGCTTACGCCCTAAGCTTGATCTGGACCCTTGGTCAGCTACACTCTCCTTGGCGACAAGGTTCCGCGACCTGGAATACCTCGCGTTACTGCTAGTAAGGAATGTACCAGTAGAAAGAAAAGGATTTACGCTCTATGGTTGGACGCCCTCAAGAGTTCATGCATAGTCAATTGCTAGGTTAGCAAATTTGTTCAAGTTGAGATGACAGTCCAAGGGCGTCGCTTAAGCAGGCACCAACGTCTTACAACTTCTGTAGGCTTCTCCAGTGGCTTGGTTCACTCTAGGAGCGGGGAACTAAGACCACATCATCGTGATTATCATTCAACACTTGTTTGGGAAGAACAGCTGGCAAGTGTAGATAACAGGCCCTCAGGATGATCGACGGATGCATATAAGGAAGTGAGCTTATCAAGGATCCGAGAGTTCAGGGAATGAAAGGAGAAGAAAGTATGATCATTTAGCAAAGACACAACCTTCCAATCTTCACGACTTTCAGAATTATTCTACAATGTCTTCAACATCAGTTTTATCGAAGACGCTTGAGTCCATCACCGGTACTAAGATTCGCGAATTGGAGAAGCAACGAACCCAGTACGAAAGCCGCAAGGCCAAAATCCTCCAAGAGGCCGAAGAACACCCCGATCAGGGCGACCGCATCCGCTGTTTGCTTCGAGGAGTCAAGGAACTTTACGCAAAAGGACGCGACGACGATCCTAGCATCGTCAATATCGACAACTTACTGGCTCAGTCCAAATATGACACGTCGGTGCCTCCCTCGATGTTGCAGTCATCTGAGGACCTGTTGAGGTCTAAGCTTGACGTACAAAGCCATAAGCTTAGCATGGCTCACTTGTACTCCCGACTTGTTACCGAGTGGATCAGTCCTGGAGATTCCATGGAGGCTTCCGATGCCGCCGAGCTGTCGAAGGAAGACTCCTCTTTCGAGGTCATCGACCAGAAACAAGAGCGTCTTCAGAACCTCCGTGACCAGTTCGAGAAGGTGGTATTCACACCATTGGAGACTGACGAATCGGAGATCAACGCATATCTGGCAAGTCTCTTCAAGACGAGGGAGAGTGAAAGGGCGCTTGAGGACGTGCGGCAACGGATCGCGCGAGCGAGCGAGGACTTTCTCAAGAGACGGAACCCGTTCAACACGACCACGCTAAAGCTGTGCATTGCCAGCCTCCTCCAGCAGGATCTCCTAAGCGATGAGAAACAGGCGATCTTGCGCGAGTTTGAGTCCAACAACGTCGTTCTGCGGGAGATCGCCGACGTTCTCAATACGCGATTCGTCGACTTTGAGAACTGGGAGTGGGATGCTGGCGAGGAGGGAGTGTCATACGTTCCGCGCCAGCAAGCCAACGGTAAGTACCGCATCTGGATGGACGAAGATGTGCTGCAGGCTATCTTCATTCACTGGATCGGTGTCAACAGCTGCGTTAGCTTGAAGCGAACCCTCACAGATCTCGTTTCTCTGGACGGAACCGACCAAGTTTGGAGGTGGCACGCTGAGCCACCCATGACTGAGAGACAGATCCAGCGTCGGGCATATTATCTTAGCGAACTGCCGACCCTGGTTTTTGGTGAATCTTCGCATTCAGCAACAACGAGATGGCCTAGGGGAGGTGCCAGGGGGCGCGGAAGAGGAGGGAGGGGAGCATCTTTCCGGAATTCCCAACCCCGGCCTTCAATCTCTGATGATACGGTTGCAGGTTTTCGCAGAAAAAACTTCATTGATTACTTTTGCCTCGCCGCCTTGCCGAGCCAGGTCAATACGCTCAACGAGGAGATGTACGATGATGGAAGAATGTCAGAAGAGGAGGATGATGATAATGTCTCCTCGTCTGAATGGGAAAAGGCCAAGAAACCGGCCCTGAACATCAAGCAGTTTCTTCTGCGCACGCTTGCGACTGAGACGATGCTCCATCAAGCGCTTGATGGCACAGCTGCCGTGGTGCAGTCTGATCTCAAGTGGTTTGGGGCAGGCCTATCTCACACATCAATCTTTGCCGTACTGCGCTTCTTTGGGTTCCCGGAGAACGTTATTGCGTTCTACCAGAAGGTTCTAGAGACGCCGATTAACCTAGGCTCGTCTTCCGAGTCAGAGTCCTCATCAAACGCACCGCGCACCAGGCGCAGGGGCATGCCAATGAGTCGATCGCCAGCGAAACTCATCGGCGAGGTGGTCTTGTTTGTGATGGACTTTGCCGTCAACCAGGAAACGGGGCTACAACTTTATCGCCTTCACGACGACCTCTGGGTTGCTGGGAGTCCTTCGAATACTGCTAGAGCCTGGGCTGTCATGCAGCACTTCGCTAAGATCATGGGGTTGGAGTTCAATATGAAGAAGACTGGCTCGGTGTATTTGACTAATGAGGGAGTTCCTCGAAATGAAGCCTTCGATGAACAGTTGCCCAAGGGCCCTGTCAGTATCGGCCACCTCGTGCTCAACCCTCAGACTGGAAAGTGGACCATTGACCAGACGAACGTCACAGAGCACCTGAAGCAGCTTCAGAAACAACTTGCTGAGTGTCGGAGCATCCTCGACTGGGTACGCACATGGAACAGCTGTATCGGCCGCTTTTTTGGTCAAGCGTTTGGAGAGCCGGCCTATTGCTTGGGCAAGGAACACGTCGAGAGTGTTTTGCGAACCTACCAGAAGATGCAGCACGACATCTTTGCGCCATATTTTACTGAAATGGGCAGCAACCCGATTCCCGGCGCAGCGAGCAGTCAACTGAGCGCAGTCCACTACCTCAAATCCAAGATCGAGCAGCGTTTCGGTGTTTCGGATGTGTCGGACGCCTTTATCTTCTTCCCGGACCAGCTAGGTGGCTTGGGACTCCAAAACCAGTTCATACCATTTCTCAAGGTCCAGAAACATCTGTGTGGAATAGGGGTGTCTCCAGAGGAGATGGTCCAGAGCTTTTTCGATCGAGAACGCAAGGACTATGAGGATAAGAAGAGGACATTTGAGTTGACGAAGGCTACCGAGACGCGTGAGCTAGGGGATGATCTCCTGAGCCGGCTCGACGCGCAATCTCTCGACCTGGAGGACTTAGGGACGTTCTTCACCTACGAGGAATTCGCCAAGAACAGAAGTACGACGAGCAGTCATTTGAAAGACCTCTACGAGCGTATTCAGGGGACGCCGACTGTACTAGGCGCCAAGGCTGAGCCGCAAGTCTACCACGCGTTGGAGGACTTGCCTATCCAACCGGCCATTTTGCGGTCTGAGCTGCGGTGGGTGGTCCAGATGTATCATCAGGAGGCGAAAGATCGGTTCGATGGTCTTAGGCTCATTGAGGAGCGATTCCTGCCGCTGGGCGTCATTGATATGATGAGGCAAAAGACCGTGAGATGGGGGTTGGTCCTTTAGCATACCGTACACAGATGTATTAAAGCAAGCAGTAATGGTATAGAGTCCTTGTTAAATTTTGCTGTGGAACACATCGCGCGCATCATTCTTTATCGACTGCCAGTCTCACAAATATTTGAAGTCGCCTAATATGTGCACAAATATTTTCGCCCTTGACCTCGCTATCCAATGTCAACTACCTAGATCAGTGACTTTGCGACTCCGACGTACAACATTCATTAGTAGTGAATGTGGGATTATATGGCCCCGAACAACACTAAGCTCACATACCCCTACCGGACGACG